ATATAAATTTGCAGTAAATCACAGCTGTGATCCTTTGCCTGATTTCTTAGTTTCAGTGTTTCTAGTTTGTATTTCTCTTGCCATTGGCTGCAGCAGCTTATTACGTAATGACATAACACAGATCACACACAGTCACAGCGCGGACATGTGTCATTTTGCTTTAACTTAAAATAGTTCAAACTTCTCGTTTTTAGTCCGTTCACCTAAAGTTAGAACATAACAGATAATCGGACACTGTTTTGAGCTGAAAAACCTGTTCTCACCGATGAAAATGAGCAATTCAAAGTGAGCTCTAGTGTTTGTTTGTGTGTTTCAGCTGGTCACATTTAATCACTCCAACAGACAGCTTAAAGATTGGACTTTTACCACAATGTTTTCCTTTTTAAGTGTAAGAATAAATGTCCAAATAAAGTTTGAGATTACACTTTTACACACACAAAAAATAAATAAATAAAAAAACAGAACAAATACCATGTCATGATCAGCGCTCTGCCAGGTGTAGGTTACCTCCTTCTTGTGTTTTAATCATTCTCAAAGTAATCTAGAAAAATAACTGTCCAGTCATAGAAAATGCACAAAACAGCAGAATGCTTACCTTTATTAAGGCAAAATCTCTCAAAACCTCCTTAAATCAAATCGGTGCTGTTTTCTTATGAGGCATTGAAGGAGAGCTTTAATCTGCAGCAGTCAATCCAATAATCTAATCTATCTGGATTTTGTTGTCCTGTTGGCAGCCACCACACGGTGGCCTGCTGGCAGCAGCGGGTGTTTCTGAAGGCCACAGGTAGGTCCAGATATCTGAGTGGAGCTCCAGTCCTCTATGTTGGAATTTGGCCCTGGTGACCCCACCAGAGCTCTTTGGTTGTGGGTCTTTATTCCATCAGTGTTGGTGCGACTGAAACATATGTGGCCCCCTGTCAGTGCAGAGCTGCCCCCTGCTGCTGGCAGCAGAGAGACACACATTCATCGCATTGTTCTTTTAAAAATGTATCTGAAGATGTTTCAACAACAACAACAAAAAAAAAAGTAGAAATACCACAAGGCTATAAAGTACTTGAAAAAAAATAACTAAGTAAAAATAAAATTACATGAACAGAAAATGATTTTGGTAAAAATATATTTCACTGATAAGAAAACTACTGAAGTAAAAGGTATAAAACTGTTCACAAACATTGAAAAGGTAAAAGTACTTTTACACACTCTCTAGGAAATAAACGGTTGAATTTACTGAACCAAACGGGTTCCAATAAGCCAGGTTGAGTAAATTGAGCAATATATGTATGTTATACAGTATTAATATTATTCATTTTTAAATTTTTATCTTTTCTTTGGTCTTATTTTGTTAATTGAAGACTTATTTACTGATTTAAACCATTATTTGATTAGTATTGTTGAATTTAATGTTATATTTGGAAATGGGGGCAGATATTATTAGATTTTTCTTCTGCTACCCTTCATTTCATTTTATTTTAACTCAATTCATTTTAATATATATGTGTATGTATTTTTTCTCATTTTCTCTCATTTTGTTTTATGTTTTGAATGTATTTTGTTTTTGTTTAAATGAAAATAAAATGAAATGAATAAACTGAATTATTTGCTCAATTTACTCGACTAGGCTTAGTGGAAACAGTTGACATGACTTTCTTGAGTAAATTCAACACTTCATTTTTTTAGAGCGCATAATCAGCTTCTTTCATGATGAGTTCAGACATATTTAATTTTGTAACAAGTAACTAGGTGTTAAATTTTAAAGCAAAGAAGTAAACGTATCATTTTTAATTTTAAAATGTAACGTAATAAAAGTAAAAGTAGCAATTTAAAAACAAAATAGGTAAAATTACAAACATCAAAAATCTACTTGAGTACTGTAATGGAGTAAATGTACTTAGTTGCTGTACACCTCTGAGAAATACATACTAAAGTAAGTGTTGGTGCAACTCAATTCAGAATACATCTGTGCAAAAGTCTATGAGCCAGAGTTTCTTGTTATGTTTTAAGGTGGTCATTTTTCTTCAGGTTTTCTGGAGCTATCTCAAAGTTTTCTTTGGTTTTTGGCTGCTTTTACTACTAATTGCAACAATTATTTATAAAGTAATTAAAGTCAAATAGACTATCCATTTGTCGATAGTCAATTATTTACCTGTTTGGTTTTTATAAACAAAACTGAGAGTCCTGGAATACAAAGAAAACTTGGCTAAATTATGTTTTGTTCCAGTTTGAAGCATTTTATCTTTATCGAAGATCCTTCCTCCCAGCAGCTGTTAGACTCTGAAACCATTACCAATTTGAACAGACCCATTAGGTTTCTCTGATTGCACCACAGCTCTCTCACCCATCCTACAATTGTTTTTTTTTCTGTTTAATTTAATTTAATTTAATTTGTTCTTGCGTTTATTGCACATTCTGTATCTCAGGTTGATGTATATACTTCTAGTTTTTGTGTTTTGGTACTCTTGCTTCTTGTTATTGACACTTCTGTTTTTGCTTTATATATTTTGATGTTTAAACTTACCCTTTATTTAACTGCTGCTGATACACCTGAATTTTCCCACTGAGGGATAATAAATATTCTATTCTATCATATCATATCATATCATATCATATCATATCATATCATATCATATCATATCATA